AAGAACAATCCTTACAAATATGAGACATGTTCAACACTTGAAAGAAAATATGACTGTGATACCCTGATGATACAGGTTCTCTCTGTCTTTTCATCTGGATTGTGCAAAAATTAAGAATCGCAGGTGGTGATATTTGTCTCAGAGGGTGGTCAGCTGTAAAGTTAACACAGAGCAAAGAATTCCCAGGCTTTGATGTGTGCAACTTCAGCATTTTGGTTCTGGTTAATCGAGAACCCTTATCTTTTTTAATATCTAGGAAAAGGATATGTGCTTTCTCTTTCAAAGTTCTGCTTAATAGATGTCTTTTAGTTCTTATATCCCATTGTCAGAGTTTGTTCTCTGGATATACTATTGTCTTATATGCTTCAATTTAAATACAGTAAAAAAGAACGTTGATCTATTAATAAGCACCCTTGACTCAAAATCAAATAACTGCAAAATTGCAGAAAATCCCCAGACCTCCAAGTTTCTCTCCTTCATTGGTTATGTATTACACCTGGAGTCACAAGACAGAAACTCCTATTGCCTAACAGTCTACCATCATAATGCCCCATGTTGTCAAGAAATAAAAACTGAATCTCCTTAGCTATCTAGACAGAATATTTACTGAGCAAATTTTGACATTAAATACCTGTTTCTGAGTATAGGTAAGATTCTTTCAAGAACAGAGGCCAGTTTTAACCTGTTTTTCCAGGGTGTTGAACTAGCTCCTCATCCAGCTGTAAATGACGACATCCTTCTGACCTCAATGTATGTAACTGTTTACCTTTGTATGCCTGTAGAAAACTTACCTTGAGTTAATGTAAACTGGAGGTCCATGCCTACTTAAAAAAGTAAAAAAATTTTTGTGTCACTTTTGCTTGTGACAAATTAGAAAGAAAGCATTTTATGTTTGTACTGCCATCCCTTGGAAAACAAAAGAAGGTTTGCATTTACTTTCTGTCCTTTTTTGCTGCATGAGGTGTCTTAGCCCTGATGGTGTCAAGAAATTAGAATACTGTCTTCCAGACAGCTTCTTTCATATTTGCCATCCAAAACTTGGGGAACTAAAGATGCTTTTAAAAAAGAACAATGTAAGGGACAACATTAATGAATTGATTTCTCAATGTAAAAAACACATTTCCCATCAAGACGCTTATTAGAATGTTTATCTTGGAGAAAATGCGCACAGTTTATATGAAAAGCTGATGTTATGTTAATTTCCATTATTATATACAGATGATATTGAGGAAGATGGAACAAAGTGCCTTTAAACCAAAGCTGATGATATTTTTTTTTTCTTGTTTGCTACAGTTTTATTGTAGTGAAATATGTTCATTTTAGCAGTGGAAAACTGCCCTAAATAGACAGCATAAGAGCAATAAGATGCAGAGCACAATTTTAAAATGATGTGCTCTGGAAGTAAGGCTTTTAGACATTTTGGTTTATGTATTAAAACTTCCCACAAATTTGATTGAGAATGAGCCTTTGATGGATATTTGCTGCAGTTATGCTGCATTAGACTCGATTTATCCACCACCTCTCATTGTTGCTATTGATTGATTTTTAAATTAGATGAAGGCAATCAGTAAATACCACCCAATCAAGTCCTAAAAACATACAGGAGATTAGACAATTTAGGGTAATCAATGAAAATATTCTGTGATTTGCTACCACTCAATTTTGACCATAAATTACGACCATAACTTGCAAGTTAGTAAGCCATAAAACAAGTGGATGTGACAAGAAAAACTATAAGAAATGAATTAAGGAGATGAAGAGGAACCACTAGTGTTGTCATTTAATGAGACAAAATTACTCTTTATACATATCTTGCATTTCTGGTTGAGTCTTGCCAAGAGTAGTGGAGTACAGGAGCACTAACCTTTGCTCATTTTTCTAGGGTTTTTGGGTTTTTTTAGTAATATAAAAGCTGTTCTTTTGTGTAGCAAAACAGTTTGAACAATAACTAATCTACCTAATTTTATTGCAGGAAATAAATTAATGTAATTTTAGGTTTAAAACCAGCTGCTTGTTAAAACCCCTCACCTACACCACAGACACTTGCAAACACTAATTTTGAAGTCACACTTCTATACAGTGTTATATCCTACAAACTTTAAAGTGTAGCAACAATTTAATGTTATTTTAGGCCAACACTTTGAAGAAGCTGTGCTTATACACATTCTCTCTGATACATGTCACCCATTTTCTATATTCTCTCAAGTCTAATTGAGAACTAATAATTCACATGCCTTAAAAAAAATCCGCTTTAAAGCTTATTTGCTAGTTGTAAATGGGTGTCCAGGTTTTTTCTATTTATGAATTTCAGTATCTATTTAGAATTTCTAGGCAGAATCCATCCAGTATTTCTAGGCTGAAAAGCTGCTTATAAATACATAAACAATCATTAACAGCTACAGGCTATATAAGAATACATTGGTGAAATAAAGCAACTATTTATGAAATTTGCTCCCTTAAAAAAAGTAGTACAGATGTGATACTGCTCAGTAGCATGCAAAAGTCTTCCTGCTTAATGCATTTATGATCCTCCTTAGAATAAGGAAGAACATTTGGAAAAGGATAATTTTTGGGAGCGTTGATCATAGAAAAGGATTATATAAGATGCTTTTGACAAGAGGAAAATTCATGTGCTTTTTTCTACAGGGAACAGAAATCTGAGAGGCCTGGAAACTGCACAGTACACCTGGAAAGGTGATGAGAATGTAATGCAGGACAGCATGGGAGGAGGAAGGAACACCTTCACTGCACTCACAGCCACTGAAATACCAAAGTGCCTTTGTAGAGCCTGATGATAGAGCAGTTATTTTGCTGGCACACAAATGCAAAATGCACAGGTGGAATAAATACTGAAAATATGTGGATTTATGTTGACTGTGATTTCACATTGCAGTGGAGAAAGCAAAAACCCCAGAGTCAAAAGAAGCATTAGTGATGTTGCAAACAAAAGACTAGTCAGCAAATACTGACTCTGCATCCGCAGGTGGACTCTGTGTGAGATAATCCAGAATTAGAACATTTGAGGATTTCATGCAGAGATTCCAGACACTTGTTGTAGTAGACAAATGTCTGGCACTAGCGTACAAAAAAAAAAAAAAGGTAGTTCTTAACTGGTTCTTTTTTAGAAGTAATTTCCTTTAGCCCAGGGCTTTAAGAATCAGGATTCACTTTTCTGTGCGTGTGGAACAGCAGAACAGAATAAGTCCATGTAAGTCCTGGGCCCCTTACAAAAACATGTTTTACTGTGTCAAAAGCACTTCCCACCTGAATTCTGAATTTAACATTAGAAAAGTGTCCAAGTCTGGTCTTTCAGATTTTCTGTGTTGTTTGGTACATCCATCTAAGGAAATCCAGTCTGAAGAAGAACTAAGTGAATCCCTAGTAAAATACAAAACCTACACCAACTTTCTAAATACTTTAAAAAAATATATAATTGAAATGGTTTTTTCATTAACTCCTGCATTTTATCAGTTTCTACAGGTTCATAAAATTTTACGAAAGAAGTCAATTCAGTGCTAATAATACTTTTTCTTCCTTCCATGTCAATTTGGTACTAGAGGAAACTTCTGTGTATTACATCATTGGCATAATTTCTGACAAGTATGTATAATGAGATTGGAAGACAAACAGTTCTCAAAAATAATATTCCTCCCTCTGTAGGTAACATTTTTTTCTGAAATTTGAGACTTTTACTTTAATTTGAAATCTCCTTTGAAAATGCATTTCCAGCTTCTTTCTAAAAGATTTTGGATGTGATTGAACCTTTGGTGGAAATTTGCAAGATACACAGCTAAATTGTGAAGGCAGGAAATGAAACAGCTCAGAATCTGAATGAACTCTGGAGCATTTACATTCTCATATTTAAATATTTGCCTGAATTACATGTGAGCTATAACTTTTCACTCACTGCAATTTTTTGCATTCTCTGTAATTAACAGTACTCAGACAAATCAATGTTTACATATTTTAATATAGCAACATATCATGTTCAATCTCATCTTTCTGTGAGTTAGAAAACATACAACACAAAACCCCAATAACCTCTAGAAAGGAGGACAGGAAAGGGAGAGAATAAAGAAAACCACTGACTTAAAACAAAGACAGGGACCTACTTGCAGTTCCTGATGGACTGGTGCAATACAAGGAAGCTGGTGTATTCAATATAACTTTTAGAATAATTGCCTGGGAGGTAACCAGAAAAGTACATTTTACTTTATCATGGTACATAAATAAAAGGGCAGACTAATTAATCATATAGCTTACTAAAAGTGCTTTTTATTTTGCCATTTAGTATGCCAGAAAGATCATTTTCTTTAATGTATATACCCAGTATTAACATGATTTAATCCATCATGTTCTGTATTATGAAATTACTTTGTTTTACTCCCTGATCCAGCTGAAGATCATTAACCCACACTATTTTCTAAGTCATACATCATTTGAGTGTATTACCTCATATAGCAAAAAAGCTACTTCTCTCGGTTATACACTCCAACTAAGAAATCATTTTTTCTGGATGTTGCTGACAAGTAGAGCTGTTTTCATTAGAAAGCAGATGGTTCACTATTTCGATTCTGTTTTACCTTCCCATTTGCTCCAGCTCAGAGTTCTTTGCTGCCAGTCACCTCATTACCTCTTGCAACATCCACATCCTATATTCCAGACCTGTCTATAAAATGTGCTAAACATGCAAGTACTTTGCCTTCCCCCAAGACCTCCTTTTTTCTCTCTGCATCCTCACTTGTTGTAAGTCAGTCTTCAGAAGGCAGTGAAAGCGAAGGCAATCATCTGAACAGGAGGTTAAACTCCCACAGTTTTGCAGGTGTCTGTTAGCTGAGAGTGCCAAAGGTGTAATTTACACAGTCAGATTTTAAGCTTGGATGTGAAGTCACACTGCTGCTGAATTTGCCTCATAGAGCTTTAGGGCAGAATCTGACCTTCTATGATTTCTTTCAGTTATGATGTTCATGACATTGATATTTTCACTGTTGTGTTCTCAGAGTCTGTATCATGAATGTTCTGCTTGGGCTGCCCTGATACCCTGGTAAGTGTCAATAAATAGTGGCCTGCAATGTAAATGAAATGTGTGCATAATGGAGTAATGGGTCATTTTGAGTCAAAATGAAGACTGGATGGTCACTGAAGATATGTCTTGGACTTTTTAGAATAAAAAAGAATAAATGATGTTTTGAAATAGTTGCACTTCAAGTAACAGAAGTAACACCTGCTAAGTTTCAGACTGATTTCAGTTATCTCTAAGCATTTGCCTTGAGAAGTAGACTCTCATTCTAGTAAGGCAAGGAGACTAAATGCTTTCATTGCTTACATGGGAAGCCACGTACTAGAGATTAAATCCTTAGAGGTGAATCAATCAGCACATAATGTTAGTTCTTCTACAGCATATATGTTTTTGTTTTGATCATTCTCTGCTGTAGGTAATATTCAAACATTGTAATAATATATTCTACCTGCTTTGTGTAGTTTTCTCTGGTTTCTACAAATCACAAACTCCATTTTTATTATTGTTTCAGGAAGTTTTAGGGGGGAGCTTTCCATTTTCTTTTTTTTTTTGCACATACTTGGTAACTCATGCCAAATTTACCATTTATTATGACCTCATACACTTGCCATACGTAAAGATGTTATTTTCTTTATTCAGAGTGAAAAGTAATACAGATCTTGGCAGAAATAAGGATAGAGTATTGGGATGGGTATTTGATTTTATTGATTTGAAGGACAACCTGTTCACCAATCTTAGACTGTATCATGGGTGGGCTGTGATTTAAAACAATTATTCTTGTAGAATTTTCACTGAAATTGAAGGAAGAGTAAAGGCCTCTAATGAACATGCTTACAAAATTCAAAGAAAAGATCATAGATTTGGAATTGTTCCAAGCATATATGAACCTGTTTAGTTATGTTTAGTTATAGTTTAATAATCCACTGTACAAAGAGTTTTGAAGGAGCTGGGGGGAAACATAAATCTACAATGTTAACAAAGCCAAAGCTGAAGTCAACCTGCAGTTAATAACCATGCTCAGTGATATTATTTTAATGATGACACAATATTTAAGCTGCTGAACTTGGCACTGTAAGTAGCTATACATGTTGCACAGAGTGAAGAAGTATGCAATTGGTTGGGCTTGACTTTCACATGTCTGTTCATAGTGTCATGGATTCTGGTCTACTCTCAGTCAAACGTAGCCTCAGCACCCAGGCTGAAAAAACCTCACCTGAATAAACACAGCCATAATTCAGCTGCAAATAAAGCAGGGCAAAAATAGTAGGTGCAGGTGCTGCTGCAGAAACTGGAAAAGGTAAGGCATAACACAGATTATCTTCTGCAGAAGGAGTTGGGTGCAGCTGTCCCTGGAGCTTTAGAGGCAATGCCTGTACACAGTAAAGTCTCTGTCGCAGAACTTCAAGCTCCTCTTGTTTGTGTGGACAATATTGCCAAAGTGATGAGAAAAGAGAAGAGAAGACTCCACAGTCTTCTGGAGGGACTGCATTAGCCCGCACTGAAGTATGTGCAGGTCCAGCTGCAGTTCCAGAAACCCCCTAACTGTCCAGTTTAAAGTTAGCCTGGGCATGTGTGTGCAGCCTGGAGTGTAGCCCAGTCCATGAACAGCCTCACAGGCCATTGCTCTGCAGGCAGCACAGACTCTGGCTTTGCACAGCTGTAGAGGTGAGTGCTGTGAGTGGCATTAAGTGCCCTCTGTCCAAAAGATTTCTGTGCCAATACCAAGTTCCCCAGGGCAGCTTCCCAGCTATGGTAGTGACTGTTAAATGGAGTTACCCTAAGCTTCTCTAGATACCATAATCCACTCCCCCAGCTATCAGTGTATCACAGGTGTGTTAGTAACTGTCATTTTCTGACAGTGATGCCCAAATGATTTCGGAATTTATCTCCAAAATACTGACAGAAAAGATGGACTTTCTGGTTTGTGCCTTTGAGTGCTCCACAGAATGGGATTTAGCACTGATGTCACATAAGCCAATTTTTTTTCTGCTCAAGAAAGTATTGTGCAACTACCAAATTCCGTAGATGAAAACTGAAAAAGGGTATGGCAATAACAAAAAAAGGTAATACTGTGAACTGTTGGCATGAAACTTTGTTATCACTATAAATAATTTAGTGGGGTTTACTCCAGCAGTTGTGAACTTAATATACACAAAATTTCCCTCAGTTTTTCTTACCCTTGATTTTGTCCCTACCTGAATGCTAGCAGTATAATCACATAACATAAATTATACAGTATCAAACCCTGGTAAAATAATTCCAAGCAAAGCAAATGAGAAGCCATGGAAAATTATGGCATAAGATCTTGACAAGCTAAAATAGACAGTGAAGTACAGAAGGTGTCATTCTAGGATTTGTCTGTTTGTGCATGTGCACTGACGCTCCTGATGTTCATATAAAACACACGGAGAAACTCCATCTGGTATTGTATGGGAAAAATTTATGTAGACTCTTCAAAATTACAGCAAAAGCAGTTAAAAATGCAAACTTAAAAAGTGATATAAGATAGCAATTTATTTATAAAAATGTCCTTTGCATTTTTGAACACTGTTTAACTTCCACGCATGCTTTACTGTTTTCAAATAACAAATTGACCTTTCCAAATTCATAATGAGGTATGAAATAAATGAGAGAGTACTGAAGGTGAGTAATTCATTAATCATAAGCAAAACAGGGATGAAATCAAGGACACAGGAGCACAAACTGTAAAAGTAATAGGTTGCATAATCATTGTATTTAATATTAACTACATTATGTTTTTCATGTGGGTTCTGAGAAGCTGTTTTTTTATGTTTACATGAAACTAATCCAAGGTAAATTTTATTTCCCAATATTATTTTTCCTAGTGGTCACTCTCTTTTTAATAAACTAGAAGACAACGAGTTCTAGCTTGTCACAATGTTATGAAGATTTAATAGAGGGGTTAGCGGGACCATTTAGGCCTACTGAAACTTTTGATTTAAGATATTCCACTTTTGACTAGAATGTACCAATCATGTAGCTATATCCCCTTCTTGTTTGTCATGGCAAATCTCCCATTATGGACATAAATTCACCTGGAATTGCTTGTTTTGGCCAAAATAAATTGCTATTCATATTCCACTGTCAGAGAAGGACAGAGAAAGAACTGTTAGTTGAGCAGTTCTGGGTCTTTATCCTTCAAGAGTTCAATCCACAGTGATTACACAAAGTGCCACAAGGTAGTTCACAGTTTACAGGTGATGTATTTAAATAGTTAATACTGGTGGATATAATAAAAATAATTTGTTCCCCCTTGTCAGATTTCAAGAATATTTATTCCCAAGAACAAACCAGGTTAGAATATGACAAGATGAACTGGTGGCACAGCAAGGAGTCAACTCACTTCAGAATCACTGAACAGATGCTTTCCCCTGTTCCATACACTTTCATTTGGATGGAGCTGGTATTGATGCTGCTCTTACTCGTTATTTTGTAATTTACTGGACTGAGAAGGAGAAAGAGGAGAAAAGTGCAGAGTGAGAGCTACGCACATAACTTGCCATTATACCACTGTGTTCTGTGGTCCCCAGTGTGATACACATTCGCACCCTGGTCAGCTTTGTGTGTCTGTAACTCTTTGTAGATGGGCAATGATGGGGGTGAGCAGCCTTCCTGTGAGCCCAGTGCTGAAACCCCAGCCCAGCTCACAGTGGGGCCACGTGCCCCTCCCTAGGGAGCACATGGAGGCCCTGGGCAGCTCTCTGTTCCCATGCAGCATGGGTGACACTGGGGCTTGTGCTGGCCTTGGAGGTCCTTACTAGTTCACCTTTCCTGCAGACCAGAGCTGGAGTTACCCAGCAGATCACGCCTCGTCTCAGCCCTGTTGGTGGTCACAGGAGACAGTGCTCTGTGTCCAGGCGTGTGAACTTGCTTGTGTGCACTGAAACCAGGCTGCAGATGCACTGATGTGCCCTGGGATCTTGTCCATCTATGAACTCGGGGAGTAGTCTGTGTTTGCACCAGTCTGGAAAAAATGTTCCTGGGTCCTGCAGTCAGTTGGACTCATGTTGTAGTTCTGATGCAGGAGCTGCACTTGAACCACTTATTGGTCCCTGTGTTGTCCTCCCACACGGAGTCTCTGTGCCTGGCACCTCTCAGTGTGGTACAGCCCCCCTGGGAGATGCTGTAGCCCATGACAGAAAGGCTGTAACACCCGTGGGCCACAGCAGCTGGACTGCAAGTGCCGTGACTCGGGATCTGACTCAGAGCAGTCTTTGCTCACACTCTTTTTAACTATAATTAATGCATGTTGTTTTGGTGCATATAAATGTCTGACTAAGCAATTGCCTACATTTTGACCATAAAACAGGCATTAATAGACCTGTTTAATAGTGTTTAATAATTAGATAAAAATCGTGATTTCTCAATATTTCCATTCACAATTTTTGCAACTTGAAGTCAAGTTCTGTCTGCAATTCTGTATTCTGAGGGGAAAAAGTAGCTGTTGATTAAAGGTATGTACTCTATCACAGTCATATGTTTTCCATAACCCTTGATGAAGAAAGTATCTTCATTTTTAAATCTCCCGTTTAACTAATTTCCTATCTTCTCTGATTCAACATTTCTACATTTTATAAATTATATTCATGTTAGATTCACACTGTGCTTAAGGTGTTTCTTCCTTATGTGAGAAAGTATATATAAACTCCAAGGTGTTAAAGCCAGTAATTGTTAGTGATGTTTTTATTTCTAAAGAAATATAAAGGACACGATGTTCCATGAATAGACTGGTATATTATTAAGTCTGAGGAATTTGCCCAGATCTCTTAAAATCATACATTCCACTCCTGTGTAAGTGGAGTGATCCTCTTAATATATTTCCCTTCATTTTAGATGCAGGTGGTTTAAATGTGGTGCTCTGGTTTAGATTCCAGAGCAAATAGGTTACCTATAATATTATCATTCCCAGAAATATATTGCCAAGCACTGCCTTTCTCAAGCAATATGGTTAAAGGGTTCACTCTGTCCCCAGTGGTCCTCTGCTTGAATGCTTTTCCCAAGCTCCAGATCAATCTTTAACTCCTCACTTTTAAATTAAGGTGAAATACCATGGAGAAGAAAGGGAACATAAATACTTCCAAAATCCAAGCAAATAGGTTTTCTCACTCTTCCTTCCCTTTCCTAAGCAAGATATGAAAGCCCATGAAGTCTTCTCTGTGCTGGACCCAGGTATTTTCAATTTTTTTGAATCAATTTCTAAAGTTTCAGCAGAATATATTTTTTTCCAAGACACCTTCTAATGCTGTTACAGAGTCATCAACTCAGTATCAGAAACATTTTGCTATGGGCATGAGAAGTCTGTCACTTTAGAAAATTTCAAACAATATCAGTAGCATATCAGAAGAATTTTCCTCTTGTAGGTACCCTGCCCTGTTCTTTGCAGGGTGTCCTGCATGACCTGGGCTTCCTCTGTACCTCGAACAATCCAATTCTGCAGAGCTTCTGTTATTCTGCTTTCAGAAGCTCTTCTGGCAACAGATAGATGGTAACTTTCTATCCAAAAGTTAAAAGGTGAAAGGAGTTTGGCTTTTGGGGGGACTTGAACTTGTTTATGTCTTCAGCATATGTGAAATTTCTGTTAAAATATTTACCAATGTATTCATGAAACAGGAATAGTTGAAGGAATGCATTTTAAGCTAATGCCCTCTCCCAGGTTAATGATTAATACTGTGAGAACTCAGCTTGGTATTTACTGTATCATGACACAAGTAAATTGAACTCCAAGCAAGTCATTATCTGTTTTATTTATTTGGTTTTTAAAGTATGCAATGTCAAATTATTAACTTCTGGGGTAGAAGGGTGGTAAAAACATGGGTCAGGCAGTCTCCATGGAGCTTTGTGGGACTCATTTGTTCACACCCTGTGTGGTATATAAAGAACATGGTTCTTATAAAAGAAGGCTTTCTGTTTCCAATGCAAAATCTAAATCTTTAAATGCATTTTACAAAAATATTCATTTCTGTCTTAATTACTGTATTAAAAAATAACCCTTACATTCTCTGTCTGTCACTTGTTATGATATTAAACTGCACCTTCTGTTCTCTGCATATACACAATGCTATTTATTTCCTGTGGGAATGAATTTTTAAATTATTTTAAGCAGAGAAGGACTAGAGGTTCTCCATATCTTAGGTACTAAGAGACTTCAAGATCAATTTTGGCTCATGCTGAGATTTTTCAAATAGTTTTTTTTTCATTTATTTAAGCTTTATGTATGTTCAATTTTTAATTTTGTTCTGCTCCTTTATCATCTTTGAACAAAAATTTATTTAGAAATTGAAAGGGCATTTTACTATATGATAATAATTTAAGTAATTCAGTCATCAATAGTAACTATTCAATATTTCTCCCTTAGAAAACAGATGGAGTTATAAAACTGGTATAGGTAAAGTAAAGGTCAGTAGAGAAGAGATTTAGGAAAGCATGTTTTGAAATTTGGGAAATTTATTTTCTATGTTTCTGACTTAAATGGCTCACAAAAAGTAGTTTGAAAAATGGCCTAACTGTTCATTTGAGTTTTTGGACTATGCTAATGGAAACAAAGAAAAAATTTTGCTCATTCTCAGTATTTAAAAAAGTCAAAATAGCAAGTAGAGAATATGCTGTAAAAGGATGTATTCATCAGGAGAAAAGGTGGCTTGAAAATTTGGATATTGTTGAATGTCTTTGAAATTCTAATTTGTGTCAGCAAACATGCCTAATTCAAAATCAGTTTTCAATGGACCAACTAAGGGCACTTCACTCATTTATTTTCCTGCCAGATTTTGATATTATCACAAACATGTCAGCACTATGGCTATTAAAAAAAAAAAATTTCAACCTTCTTAATTCTGTAGGAAGAGTGTTTTATTTCACTAGAAAAACAGGTATTTTGCTTGGAATGGAAATATTACCTTTCAGGAAAGAGACTGCCTGGAAAATTCTTCCTGAAATGTGAAAGCTTCAGAAAGTTACAAAACCCTAAAATTTTTAGAATTTAGATTAGAAGAAAAATACTTGGACAATATTAACTATCCTATTGCTAAACCTGTAACTAGACCTCCCTCGTCTGCAAAGACTTTAAGGTTCTAATTCCATTTTGCAATTCCCAATTTGTTCATGGTAAGCCAGCCACAGTTTAAAGGCTCAAAGATGTTTCACCTAATTTTTCTTATATCTCCAGATAGTGCATGGCCAAGTTATTTAGATACAAATAAGCCTTGAGAATATCATCAAATCCATTCTAATTTCATTCATGCCTTGGAGATAATAATTTAAAGAGCTAGTCACTGCTTGCAATTAAGCATGGAGAAAATAGATCCGTCCCATAATTTATGTCTGCAAAGGTTGGGCTGGATTTGTAATTAATGTTTGCTCCTTTTAATGAAATACTCCAAAGGTCTGCACTTCTGTCATTCATGGAGGTAATTTTTCAATTGATTAGTAAAATAATACTTGAAAAGTAAATGCACCTGCTTTAGCACAGAAATGTCTTAGTCAAGTAGAGACAATGATTGGAGTGCTAAAAAAATATCATTTCAATACAGTAGAGACTGGAGTTTTACTCCTCCAGAATTCAGAACTCCCACTAAAGAGAAAAAAGAGAAAAGGTAATTAAACCTCCAACAACTTCTTCAGCATGCTTTCATCCAGTTTAATTCCTGAGTGGTTTTCAGCATAGCTAAATACTTTTAGGAACACATGCCTGAAATGTGCATTTGTAGAAGTGAAATATGTGTGGAAAGCATATGTTACAGCAAGAAATAATTTTTGTATTTGTGTGCCTTAGAATTTTGAGGGAGCATGAACAAATAATTTAAAATTGGAAATTTGTTTCCATTTGGAATAAACACTTAGAATTTGACAGCTCATTTGGATTCTATTCTTATTTCCATTTCAGATTTAAATCTGTTCAAGTGGGCAAAATGGCGAGACTTGGGAGGTAGGTTTAAAATGGCTTGCTATGTCCTTCCTACAAAACAATCACTGTCAAAGAAAATTAAATGAAATAACAAGCCACCTCTGACTGTTTTCAGGGAATTGATAAGGATTTCGTTTGAATTAATGCCTCCAGAAGGCATGTTCAATGACTTCTCCTGCTTTGTTAATTTAGTCATTTTGACACAAAGTCTTGCTGTTCCTCTGCTACAGACACCTCACATTTTGTAGCGTTGTGGGAATTGACTGTAAGTGGATTAGACAGAATGCAGAGTAGAAGCCACAACCTATGCCAGATTTCTTGGGGGCCACAAACATGGTGATCCAAGAGGTTTTGAACCCTGTGTCATCTGGGACAAGCATTTTGCTTTCAAAGAAAGAAGCAAGAGAAGGGAATAAATGTGGTGAAAGAAGCCCTTACCTGGGGCTCAGCCTAGTGAAGCAGAGTAATCCAGACAGTGGAGTAAGAGAATGTGTGTCATCAGAACATTTAACTTTAAGGATAAAAGTTTATAGTTTTAATGCTATGGTTTTAAGTGTTTGAATCATCTGAAGGATCCAGCTATTATTAAAGCATGAGCAAAGCAGCATCTAAGGACTTTTAAAAATCTGCACCTTGAACTTAGTATAACTCCCATTAAAGTCAATGCATGCTGAGTCAGACTTTAATTCTTTTTGCACCCTAGAGATTCAAAAGGTGAAATTCCTGGCACTACTGATGTTTTGCCATTGACCTTGTAGGGTCAGGATTTCATGCTAAAAGCCATAAAATGACACTGACATTTCGTCATTGCTGTCTTGGATCAGATTCATAACAGTGACCCAGGAAAGAAACATCTACATAATCCATTACTACTGTGCATCTACCCAACACTGTCTCACCACCTTGTTTCAAGAGAGGCAATAATCTATGATTTTGAGCTGCCTTTATTTTAGCTCAAATGAAGAAGAATGGAAAAATCCTGATATTTGTTTTTCAATCACTTTATTTAAACATTCTAAGTAAATTCTAGATTATTTTATATTTTATGTCAATTTAATTGGAAAATTCTCTTTTCAAAGTGAAGGAGGTTTTGTTGGGTAGTTTTGGTAATTTTTTCAATACTATTCTAAAAAAGGTTTGTAGTAAAACCGGAAGGCAAATTTCAGATTTATAGTCCCTTGTGAATGAAGTGGTTATGATTAACAGTGAGAACTGCAAAGAGTTTTTATAATTCCTTAATGATCCTTAACGAAATATTTAATTAAAGCCCAGCTGGAAAGATATTCTTGGTTAATAAAAGGAAATCAGGGGATGAATTGATTTCTATAATGGCAGAGGACATGCAATATGTGATAGATGCTACATATCATTAGTAGTTAGATACAATAAACTGATAAAATATAAAATTATTCTGCTGGCCTCTATTAAATTGTTTTCCAGATTGCAAATGGAAAATATTGGCTGTGCATTCCAGATGATAAAAATAATAGATTCCAAACTCATGGATACAAGTGTACTGAAAAATGCGATTTGAACCTTGTGCAGGAAATAGTCCTATATATAACGTGGCTACTGATTTTCAGATTTTTGATGCTGTAGAAGAATATGAACCAAAATGTGTTGCCAGTTAGAGTGAAAAATAAAATCTGAAACAACCCTACTGAATTCAGTGGAGTTCCTTGAATTTGCTGAAATTGATAAGCTTTCCCCTTGCCATTCTGTGCATATTTCTCTAAAAACACAGAGATGAACCAATGAAAATCACATTCACAGAAACAGAGAATCACTGACAAAGAAAAACTTTCTCATCTTATTAAAGAAGAAACGAAGCTCAGCAAAAATTAAGTGAATTTTAATTGCATGAGGCTTTGCCTCAGATTTGTAGGATCACTTGATGTTGTAATTTCTTGGCTATTCTAGATAAGCAAATACATAGAAGATTTGTCATCTCTGTCCTTTCTGGTAGTCTCTATTGCCCTACATTGCAACTTTTACATGGTTTTAACTTTGCAAACAGAATTATCTAATTCATCACATACTAATTAGTTATATAATTTAACAGCTTTTTTGGTTATAAGCTGCATATTTTCCTTTTGTGCCGCACACAACTGACAGTGAAGGATATTGAAAACATATACATAAATTTGTCAGCCGCAATCTCACAATAACTAGATGACAAGAAAAAAATTCATGCTTTTGGTAAAGCCCATCTAGGACAAATTGTACAGGAAATTTCTCCCAGCTGCTGCTTACTATACACTGGGCCAACTGCAGCCAGTGTAATACCCTGGAAGCAGGTCTGAAACCCAGGAAAAGATCAGTGAAAATACGAACTTGTAAGAAAAAGTATCCAACGATGGAGGCAACTGCAGTAGAGTTAAAGCAGTCCTATTAAATAATGAGCAGTAATAGGTGACTGTCTGCTCTAAGTCACCCTTTACAGCATCTGCTACCTGCTGCAGGCTACAGGATTAATTCTGAAACATGTAATTTAGCAAAGGATCAAGACTTCTGTCTGTTCAGTCTTCAGCAGCAAATAAATTGGTGGCAAATGCTTTGACTTAGGTTGTTGCATTACTTTGTGGCAGTCCCTGCATCCAATGCTTTCAATTATAATTCCGTGTCTTCCTTTTGACAAAGCTTGGTCCTCTGTGTTCCTTTACTCGGCTTATTTTATCAATTGCAACTTTGCAAATTTTTAATGTCTGTTTCTTCTTTCTAGGCTCATCTTCAAATACATGTATTTTTGAACCCCACATTTTCAGAGGTAAGAAATTCTCTCTGTGAACTGTCTGGTCAGGTGAATAACTTGTCCTTGTTGTTTAAAGTGTGCATCCTTGCTTTAAAACTCATCCATTTTGCTCATTATATTTGCAATCGAGTCACATTTTTAAAAATATGCTGTATGTAGAGGGGGAAGGGAATACCATTGTTTGCCCACAAGGCCTGTACCTTCTGCTACTGCTGTTTGTACTTAGCCACGCATGCAGTTACCCACTTTATGCTGCAGCTCTGCTGGTTAAGGCACTCAGCTTCTTGTGTCATTTCCAGATGTATTTCTAAAGCTACAAAGCTTTGAGGAGCAGCCCCTCACTGCATCTTCTGCGTGACTAAAATTGGAAAGCAAATCACCTGCTACCACTACTGTTTTTAGTAACATTCAGCTGAGAACAATGCGTAGCTCAAAGCAAGGGTAGAGACTCTGGAAGCATAAGCAGAAGGTGCCACTGAGACAGAACTGTTATTCTGCAAAAGGCTGTGTCACCCAAATGAACCAAATATTCTGCAGAGCTACAACAGACAGGTATCAGAGTAAAGCCAAACCAGGTACAGGGGGCAAACTGTTTCAAGTTCTCAGTTCTGAGCATAAGCATTTTAATATAATTTCTATTTAAAAATGTTCAATTATGATATTCCCTATTAGCTTGGTTTTTATAACTTTCATCCCAGTGATAGGCTTGCTACCCTACTAGAATCAATGGGTTTGCATGTATTTAAGAACAGGCATAGCTTGAACTGCAGTTGATCTACTTATTAAAGCAGTAGAGGTTTACATGTTTCATTAGAAATTATAAATCCTGCCTGTGAGGTTTGTGCAAACTTTGTTTATCCTTCATTAAAACTTCTCTTTGTTAAGTAACTGCAGATACTGAGACATTAGGTGTACTCATATTACTCAATTTTGTTTCTCTGACCTCCTTCTGAAGGAGTCTACAGAGACTAATTTAAAAACCTCCCTTATATTCCTAGAGGAAAGTGGTGTGAACATTCTTGTTTGTGTCAAACAGCACTCAGAGTGCATATACTGACTTTACTGGAGTTACTTGGGCTTTCCACCACTCAGTGAGACCTTGGTGTCCTGTGAGTTTTATGTAGTTGAACATCCAAGTCAGGAGAGATATAAAGTTTTTCAGGAATGTGTATTTAAACACAGGTTAATAATAAGATTTTAAATGTTTGTTTTCCTCTTGGCATCAGTGAAAGCATATATTTATATGCTGAGCTCTTGAAAATTAATTTCCTGGACTTCTCTAGGGATATAAGGATTGTGTACAATGCACGGTTTTTCCTTGTATTATTTATGAACAGAGGGATATAATCTAGTAGCAACTCCCTTTGTGCACAATTTTTTAAGCTCTTGAAGTCAGTTTAGTTGCACTGAACTTTGAGATGAGAACGAAGCCCTCTTTCTCTTTATTGAGAGTTTTTCTTAGAATGTGAAACATGTTTACTTCCAGAATACCATGTAAATTTTCTTAAAGAGGTGCTTTGCAAATAAGCTATTATGGTACTAAAGAAAACATTGATTAGTTCTAAATGGCAGTAACAATTCAAGTGCATGTAAAGACAAGTGCATTTTCTTTCGATGTTAAGCCTCTGAATTTAATAATTGAAGGAAAAAATACAATAAGGTGCAATAGAAGAAGCTTCTGTGAAGTGCATTATGCAATTATGAGTGCCATAACTACAATTGCCTTACCGCATCATAGTATGTTTTCTACTCAGACTGTTTTCTAAAACAAAATATTTTTATTACTTTGTTATTTGGAAATATGTACTATTTGGAAAAGGTTGTATTTTCTGTGATGATTCTGTTGATTTAGGAAACCACTCTTGGTTGAGGAAATCCAAAAACTCAAGACACCATTCAAGTGAATACAGAATCCAGCTGAAGCAATCTGTTTATTTTTAGTCTTGTCAACATTGTTTTAACATGTGAAAACACTGTTTTTAGGGGGTTTCTTTCCCAGTTCCCTCAATTAAATCGTTACATTTTGCTTAGCATATGTAAGACCAGAATTATTAGAAGAGAGATTTTGGCTGTTTATTGTGCTACTTGACTTGGAGAATTGCGTAAGTCGTTAACTTTCTAGATCAGAGCCTGATTGTACCATTCACAAAACCTGTGCGCTGGAAAGAAGCTGTGTGATGGCCATGTTTACATAGTCAAATTTGTTGCAAAAAGGAATACTATAACCTCTTCTTCATCACATAAAATAGGCCAAGAAGTAGGACTACAATTATAGTAGCAAAGATTTAGATTGGACTTAAGAAAACCCACAAAACAACCCAACTTTTATAATGCTAAGATAATAAAGCACTGAAATATATAGCCTGGGAAATTTAGAAGTCTCTGTCTTTGGAAATCTGCAGGAGCAGGTTAAACAACAGCTGTCTGAAATGATACAGATACACTTGTCCCAACTCTCAATGTTTATTTCTATTATTCAAACAAAACTTCTGTGTTGCATATCAGGGTTTGGATTACAGGGTTTGGTCCATTTTGTTTTGGCTTTATCCAGCTTCATGAGTAACCAGCAGTTACATGATTTATATAATATGTAACTGTGAAAATATAAATGCCACATTGGGAGATAGCAAACATATGTTATATTTCAAACCATATACTCATGGATACATTTCTGGCTTTCTGTTCAGTTTCCTTTTTGTGTATGCATATACATTATTTTTGCATGACTTGTGCATACTTTGTTCTTTTTTTATTTGTTTAAATTGCTGTTAAACACAAGATACAAGTAGTAGTTTGTGTGTAATATTACTTTTTTTTTTACATTTACTTCCCCACTTAATCCTAGCAGCTCATGGAATTTCTTACAAGTATTAAAGGGAAAGCAAGTATTCAGAAAGTAGATATATTGGGGGGTGGGAGTAAGGCAGAGAAATAAGGAGATAAGCAGGAAAAGAAAAGATATAAGAAAAAATGTAAAGGATAGAGAGGATGAATTTAAAGCAGTGAATTATGACCCAAATTAGGATTCTAGGGACTGAAATTCAATTTTGCATCTTGAAAATGGAAGAAGCAACAGAAGACTTAGCCTGGATGACAGAGGAAGTACGTGTATTAACCAAGAGGTTGTACTGGATGAAGCTCAAAACTATAATGAGGAAAGGTGGTGGGAAGGTGTTTGGCTAATGAAACAGTTTGTCTGCTAGTGGAAATAAAAGTCTGATCCATAGTTCAGGGATTTTGGTGTAGTTCCAATAAGAAGCACATTTTAATTGTGATTAAGCTAAGGTTCCTTCATATGAAAGAAGTGTTGTGGTTGAAGTGTAAAAGTAAAGTATAAATGTTAAGAATAACTTTTTCACAAAGAAAGATTTCCAAGAGTTCCTTCTTGTTCCTTATTAAAAATGTGGGGTGTAGGTTAGGAGAGAGTGGTACAGTTTGACACAGCCATTTAGTTAAGGTGCATCTTGGTTGCTCAAATCACAGCTATAGCCCCTCTGTCTGTTGCAGCTCTTCATATTTCCTATCAAAGTTTTTCTAAAGTCACTTTATCTGTTTTCCATGGATGCTGCTATGTGCATACAGATATGTACACACTCATTTACAGTGATTTCTGATCTAGCATAGTTTTGTAAAGACCTCCAGCTCAATAGCATTAAAGATGATAAACGAATATATAAATCTAAGGGGAATGTACTAAAGTTAATAGTGAGGGTGGGTTTTTTTGCATAAAATAACTATGGTTTCCAACATTTTTCAAAGAGGTTCCTTCTCAGCTTAATGTGTGCTGATAAAGATCTGTTCTATACAACATTTCCTTCTTATCTCACCACCCCATATCTGCAGTTTTTCCTTATGTCTATTCCTTTTAAAATCCAATTTTCTAGTTATACTAGTATTTATTAAAAGCTTGACTGTGGGGTCTTTGTTTATCCAAAGATCTATTTTTATCATAACTGTTTGTAATGATTAAACCTCAACAACTTAAACACTTTACACAAAATAATGTATTTTCAATAAATTGAAATATTAACCAATCATATGTAATGGTTCAGTTCTAGCAAATGGATTGCTAGAAATCCTTAGGGTTTCATATAAATTGAAAACTGTATTGACTGACCAGGCTGCACTCGAATTACATTGCATTTGGATCAAAAAGCATAGAAAAAGTTCTCATTATAGTTCCCTGACATTAATTTGAGCATTTTTATATGTGTGTCCTATTAAGTACTTTAAGTGCTTTTTGATAATTGTGCTTTGTAGTTTTTACAGCACTTCAGCCTATTCCCAGTTCAATTTCCTCTTTTATCCGATGTTTGAAATATTGATTTCTGACAGATAAAAGCAAACCTTATAATCTCAGCAGCATGCAATAAGTGAGTAAGACGGGGCTGCAGAATGCATCAGGGAACGGTCATATTTGAAACCGTCTTTGTTTTATTACATTTCGTCAACAGAATTTACTTACCGCTTGCTGATATTTATGTAAAAGCAGGACTCCTGATAGTCCAGTGATATTACCAGCTCCTGGTATACTTTTGCATTTAGTAAGATAAAAGAAGAAACTCCCTTGGTGGTTGATGATTGCAGCTGCTTAAACTGCTGTCAGCTGGCTTGAAGTAACTGTGATTTATCTTCCTCAGATTGTACAGCGTTGTGTCCGTGAACTTCCAGAGTTTGCATTAAAAAGTGACAGAACATCAGAGTGCCAGAAGCTTCTCATATTGTGGCCCTGAAGGTAAAAGCAAAAGAAACTATGCTTGTTCTGTGTTTGGGAACACTGTCCAAACCCTCTGCAAAACTCTTGTGACATGAAAGAGGTCTTAAAGAAATGGCTTGGGATTTTGAACACGGACTAAATACAATTAAGAGATGCTAAGGAGTACAGACTTGGTGCTTTGTCTTGCATGTTTTCATTTTTTTCCTTTTCCTTATCCTGTACAATCCAGTGTCTCACAAGTAACATCATATTAAACATCTCAGCTCCATTAACACCTGCAGTAAAAGAGCAGAATATACAGGGAATTAGCTGCTTCATTTCTGGCAGTATTTCCTCTGAATTTGTGAAAATTCAGATCAGAATACTGTTTTAGAAGGTGAGAAAAGTTCCTCAGGTTACACAGTAGCTTTGGCAATCAATAGTAAACCTATCAAAGTGAGAACACAAGTCTCCATCCTGAACACCAGGTTAGGAGCAAACTGAGTATCTTTCTGTTGAGAAATACATTTTTGAGAGGGATCAATTTACCTGGGAATATAAGCAGGTGAAATAAAGGAATGAGGGACATGATTTTTAATAATTTAGACATTTCTGAGATGAACACTGAGATTTTACTTAATCCCAAATTAGCAATTGCTAATTCAGTCACATGTTTTTGTGTTCAATCGTGGAAAAACTTGAAACAACCACCTCATATGTATGCCTTCACACACTTGAACGTAGAATCGTTTTCATACTAAGGACATTTAAAAATGTTATATTAGTGAATTTTAATTATTATGATGGACTAGAACTCTGCAAGTCACTTAGCAGTTAAAGTTTAATCTCCAATCAATTGAAGTTTTTGTTACTAAACAATTAGCATTTAAAATTTTAAGTGATATGTACTTAACTGCATTCTGGAAATGGTGGGTTGGTGATAGAAAAGCCTGGCAGGGTTCTGAGGAATGGCAAGTCCAGAAAAGTGATTTGGTTAAGGCTGTCAGGGAGAAAAGAGCTTCTGAGCCCTACAAGCTTTGATCATAACTTATAAATAAAGGCCGATGGAGCTGAGCTTGCTCAGTAGCAGAACGTGCTAGAGATGGTGCCTGTAGGGAAGGGAGAACAGTGGAGTAATTAGGAAGGTGTGGTTGTCTAGGAGTTGAGTTAATATGGTCAGAGCTAGAGGTCTAAACACAGGGATCAAGGTGCATGGCCCACTCAGCCCTCTCTCCATCTGGGCTTGGCTGCTGACATCAGGGTGTGCCAAGACATTTACCTACCAACGTGTAAGCATAGGCAGGAAATGCTGTGGCTGATAGAAAATGAAGACTGACTGGAGCTAAACTTTGCAGCAAAGTTACCTCAGTGATGGTTTGACAGTTAGGAAGCTTGGACCAGCAAAACCACAGAACTGAAATCATTCAAGATTTGTCAATAAGGAAAAAGGCAAAGACACTGTTTGTTGAATTGTATGTATATTATATGTATATTTACCTTGAATATTCAAGTAAAAATCTATAAGCCCCCAAAACAGCAAAATAATCTCTCTTTTTGTTTTGGAATGTGCTGGCTGCACCCAACCCAAATTTCTGTGTCTCAGCAGACCAACTCAGAGATATGTGTACATGTGCAGGTTACATTCCTATACATTCCACATATGCAGGTAAAGCATCAGCAACAAGGATTCTGCAGTGGGTGATATAACTGTAGACAATCTCCATTAGAATTTCAAAGGAGCTATTTAGCATTTTTCATATTGGGTAGGTTATTTACAGTTCACTATTTAAAAGGAAAAAACATTGAGAAAGGTTTATCTTCTAATAAATCAAGACCATTATGACGTCAAGTCACAAAGCCTAAGGGTATAAAGGCAGTTGCAGAAGCTGCCTCTTGCGAAATATTATGTATACTATATTATACTGGCTAGCTGAATTAAAAGGGCTTCTATGAAGAATTAGAAACAATTAGAATTGAAAAAATACAATGTGAAAAAAATAGGACTGATAATTTTTTGTTGAGATTCTTGTGGGAATCAAGTTGGAAAACAAGCCATTGAATACACCAACTGATATTTTCTAATGGCCTGTTTGAATTTGACATTATATAATGTTTTATGCATGTGCATTCTGGTATTTTAGCTGACAGAACTATCCTAATGGTTTTATCTGTGAAATTTCATTTTAAAATTTAAATCTCATTGTTTCAACTGATAGCATTGAACTCATCAAACTAATGCTTTTAAAACTCTGAAGTGTTTGGAACAGCTTCAGAAGACCAAACTATAATATCCCTAACTTTGTATATGGGAAGGATTATGATCTAATTCTAAACTCAACCATCTGATTCTAAACTCTGGGACTACAGCAGGCTGCTTGAGGACTTAGTGCTCTATGTGTATATTTGCAAGTATTTTTAATATTTCTTCATAAAAAGCAAACTGGTAATATTAGAATATGTTTATATAATTAAAAAGTAACTTATCCACTTCATAAAAACGGTGTAGACTGAATTCCTTTTTTACCTCAGTCTTTCCACCTTCCTCTTTCTCTTTATTCTCTTTGATGTCTGCAGCTGTTGTCTGACAAATAAGGCCAGCAGCTGCCTGCAGTGCTACTGTTTTACCAGCTGCTAAAGGTCTGCCTTCAGCAGGCACCGGGTCCTCTCCCGGCCTGTGGTGCAGGGAGTGTTTGTCAGCCTGGTGGCACACACAGCCTTCAGAGGACAATTCAGTCTTGTCACGAGCTCTCAACCTGGAAGTACTCGGAGCTCGTGTGCTCGTGTTGATTTCCTTGTTAAACAAAGTGTCCAAAGTGTCAGAAGAATGAATTCAAGCACGTTATACTACACAACCAAATGACAATATTTCTCTCATTTTAGCTCCTTAATATCATCTTCAGCTGAGTGGGAAAGAACGCAGATTGCATGACCCTGGGGAACTTTGTTTCAACATTTATTATTGGGAAAAGTGTGGCTTTCAAAAGATAAAATGTATTTCAAATATCAAATCTCTCCCTGTGCTGAGCTAAATGCTGCCTTGATGTATGCATTGTACACTCTAAGTTGACAGATGTGAAGTACAAGTAAGAGCAGAATTTGACCAGCTAAATTTAACATAATAAGATTACGAATACTACAAGGGCAAAGGATTTTCTAAACATTAAATGCTACAGTGTGCCTGAATTCTGTTGTCAGATTTAGTCCTAGATAGGCTGGTTGTGGGGCTGCACAGTAGCAAACCAGCAAAGAAGTATCTTTATTTTGAGGTAGGAATCTTAAATGTACGGTGTTTAGAGTGACAGCTACTCATTGATGTACGGAGAGGATTTTATCTAAGTTTACCCTAATATTTAAACCTTTTTTCCTCCTTCCTTTCTGAAATGATTAGAAAACATTCTTATCTCAGAATATATTCTGGAAAGTGTTTGATTTGCTTGAATTATTTGAAGTTATAATGGGAGGGTTTTTCTCTGAATTCCAGGGAGGTTTTATTGTTGTTAATAAAACCTGTTTTTAACAGTGTTTGCAGACGTGGAGCACATGGTTCAACTCACACTTTTGCCTGTGACTGGGGCAAAGTTTTATCTTAGTGACCCACTGTCATGGCCTTGTCTTTACTGCTCTTACCATAGAACAATCACAGAAGGAATTGCCACGCGAGATCTTGTACACCAACATTTTTTCAGCAGCTAAATGTAACAAAATAAATTCATATTTCTGTGCAAAACAGCCACTCACACAGGAGCAGATAGGGAATATTCCAGTGATATGGGCTCCTAACAAGCTTTTCTTAATTTCACCAGTAGTGGAATATCTAGAAAAAAAAAAAAGGTTGTAGTGTTTAGCTCTCAGTTATCACTGGTTAACAGAGTACATTCTCAGATGATAGGTTGTTCTTAATTTTTGGGTTCACCTTCCCTCACAAATGATTTGTGGGAAAACATAATTCAGTGGGTATTTTCATCAATATTTTGTAAAAGGTCTAGAAAAGCACATCAACACAAATATGCCGAAACACGACAGTGGTGGTCCAGGCAGTCACCTGAGAAAGAGAAATGCAGACTGAGCATGTTATACCAGAGCAAGAAATGGAACTATGGTTGTTTCCATTACCAGTCAAATGAGCAAATTATTGGGATGGTGGGTCCTCTGAGTAGTTTTGAAGCTCATCCCTCATAATCTTTTCCAAACATTCCATTCTCATTTTAATAAAAAACTGACTTTCCAAAGCCTTTTCTGTCAAGCTCTAATTACTTAGTTCATTGTTCAAATCATTCTTTTTGTATACTGCAGTTGGAAAGTAATATGTAGTATACAGACAAAAATGTATCCCCTATGATGATCATCACTGTAACCATGCGCTACTGGGGCAAGCATATGTGCCTCAGTTGTGCATCCAAGAGGTTAAATTTAAAATTTATTTGCAAGTACCACAATATCAGTGGTATTTGACTATTTATCTAAAGAGTAAATGAGGCTTTTAAATTGTTCTCTTGAAGCAAACCTTGCTGATGTTGGGATTTGGGGAGATATTTTACTGAAATGGATTATTTTTTTTAAAGAGATAGTTTGGAGAGGGTGTGTCTGTGTGGTTTTTTGTTGTTGTTTTGTGTTTGGCTGGTTGGGTGGTTTGTTTTGTTTTTATTGTTATGTCAAAGATAAATCTGAAGTTTAGTAAAGCTGTTATTACTAAGGGGAGAAATAAACCAGCTACAACTTCATTCCTTGAATTAATCAGATCTTTCTGGGAGATTGCACAAGCTGACTGAAGGAGACCATCCACATTTCCCCTTTCCCAGTGATGGCATTAGCTCAGCCTGCATGGCCTCTCTGCCAGGTTCCCACAGAACTTCTGATTTCTGACTTGGCTTCTTTCCTGACAACTGCCCTATCCCCTCTCCATCTTTGTCCAGTGACTCTTCTTCCAGCCCTAGAGCTATAATCTCTTAGGATATTGTTTTTAGGGCTATTTTAGCTAAAGGTAGCTTGGGTTTTATTTACATATTTTTGTCATAGATCAGGGGTTTTTTTCCCCTTTA